GTGGAGGGGGCTCCCCGGGAGGTGGTGGAGTCCCCATCCCTGGAGGGGTTCAAGAAGCCGTGGATGTGGCACTTGGGGCCGTGGTTTAGTGGGCACGGTGGGGTTGGGTTGACGCTGGACCTGATGATCTCAGAGGACTTTTCCAACCCTAACAATTCTGTGATCCTAAGGCCGAATCTGGGTCAGTCCAATATGGGAACAGTGGTCAGGGCTGACTCACAAACCGTGCACAGGGAAGCAGCCTTTGCTTAATCCAAGAGCTCAGCGATGGAGAGAGAAGAGACCCAGGGTGATCCCAGTTCAGTCCCTTCCTCCCAGAGATGTGGGCTCATAAGAGCAGGGTGACCCGTAGGGTGACCCATAGAATGACCCATAGTGTGACCCATAGGGTAACCCATAGAGTGACCCATAGTGTGATCCATAGGGTGACCCACCCCCCAGCAGCCCCTCACCTCCCCACAGCAGCCAATGACTTTGTGTCCCAATGGTCACTGATAGAGGGGGGGAGCGCCCACCTCCCTGGCTGCAACGCGTGAACGGGAGGGGGGTGTCAGTCCCTGCCCCAGGAGATGTTTAAGGGGGCAGCCCCCAGCACTGCTCCTCCCCACGCACAGCAGCAAGAGGAGCAAGGCCGAAGCCGTGGACGAGGAGGAGGCGTCTGCAGGTCCTTCCACATCCCAAACAAGTGCTCTAGCTCGGGACTCTCTTTTCCTTTCTCACTTTGGTGGGTCTAGCCCATGCCTTTGCTGTTGTGCGTGTGTAAATGCTTAAATTCAGTGAGTCGAGCAGGACAGCACACGTATGATTAAATGATGACTGGTAATATGCATGAATTCCCATTTCTGCTGGCATTAACAGGCTCCAAGCAGCCCCAGCAGCGCTGGTCTGGCACTTAGGGACATTCCTGCCCTGTAACAACCCACAATTTGTCCTTCCTCATTTAAAAACCAGCGCGGGGGCCTCAATTCCTCCCGACGCATCGCGCGGCACACGCGGGCTCACCACGCCGACACCACGTACATTGGATGGACATGGGCGACACGATCTCCTCGTCCAGGTCGTCCACGTCGTCGGTCATGATGAAGTGCGAGGGGTTGGGCCGCGGGGTGCCCATCCAGCCCGGGTCGATGTTCAGGGCCGACGCCAGGGTGTGGATGCCGGGGTTGTTGACGATCTGGAAGCCGCAGAGGAGCTCGATTTGCTGCCAGCGATGCAGGCGCTCCCGCAGCGCGGCCGTCACCTCGCTCAGCGCTTGCCTGGAAAACGTGGGGAACGAAGGAAAAACGCCGTAAGTCGGCTGGAACGGGGAGTCTGGCAGTTCAGCCCCGTGTCCTCATGTTAGAGACATCTTTCACTCCACTTTTGGGGTGCAGGAACTAAAAAACACCCAGCAACAACTGAAATACTCAGGGATAGTCGCTACCGAACAGTGCAGCCTCCCAGAGCCTCATTTCAACAGGAGTTTTAATAGCTCTGCATAACTGCGAGTTCTTGTTTCACACATTGAAACACGACAGGTTATCGATTCAAAGGAGCAAGTCCAATCCCAGCAAACCACAGCCAACAAAACAAGAGCTCAGCAAAATGAGATCAGGAACCCCTGCCCGGGCTGCAGGGTCTGTAACGTGAGGGGAAAGGCAGAAACAAGGGAGGTTTCAGGCAGATACTCACTTTGCAGTTAGGATTTTATGGTCGACATCATCTAGAGAGGAGCTGTGAGCAACGTGAAACGTCCCAAACAGGGTGTTTCTCTTCTTCTTAATTTTTTCAGCCTGCAATATCAACAGAAAAAGGTCAGAGGAAGAAGAGGACCCGCACTTTCCTCCGGGACAAGAACATCCTGGATGGGCTGAGACGCAAAGAGGCCCCGCAGCTGCCTGCGCACACATAAATAGCGCGAATTGGGCTTCACTGATGTTTTCCCTCACGTGGTGGGCGAGGAATTCGCCAGCGGCGAGTACACAGGCCGGGGGGGTCATGGTTCCCCTTGGCCCTTCCCCTGATTTCCCAAAAACCAGAGGGGACGGAGGCAGCTGCCCCATACAGCCAAGGGCTCCCTAAGCCTTGGTTTGTCTTTCCCCTGAGCAAACCACCAGAGAAGCCCTGGTAACGCCCTGGGCTTCTTTGTTTGGAGGTTAATCTTTTATTTGGGGGGTGCAGAGCCTTCTGGTCTCAGTGCTGCTCCCAGGGCTGGACCCCAGAGCTGCGCAACCCAGAGCAGCGCCCGCCGTGCCCTCAGACCATCGCCTGTTCCCATTGCCAGCCCCTCCTCACACCTGCACTTTACAACAGTGCAAATTTAAGGCATTGAAACGGAAAGAAAGAACCACAGAATCATTGAGGTTGGAAGAGACCTCGAGGATCATTCAGTCCAACGTCAGCCCAACCCCACCATGGCCATAAACCACGTCCCCAAGTGCCACATCCACACGGTTTGGGAACCCCTGCAGGGATGGGGACTCCAGCACAGCCTGGGCTGGTGGAGGTGTCCCTGCCCGTGGGGGTTGGACTGGGGGGGGTTTGGGATCCCTTCAACCCAAACCATGCTGTGGTTTTATTCTGGACTTATGTTGAAATTCTCACCCCTTCCTTGGCCACCAGCAGCTGCTTCTCCGCGTTCTGTTTCTTGATGTTGTAGTACTGGACCTCCACCTCGTGCGTCAGCTGCAGCCACTTCTGCAGGGCCTCGGGCGCAGCCCAGCTGCAGTGCGACTCCAGCTCCTTCTCCGCGTTCTTCAGGGCCATCCGAACCTGTGGGAGAAGCGGCCGGCGCCGCGTTGCAGCAGCGGTGGGGACGGCCTCCCCCCCCTCCTGCAAGGTCACCCCGACCGCTGGCTGCCAACCCGGCACTTTAACACCAGAAAACAGAAGAAAGCCACTTAATCTTAGTCGTGAGAGAAGCAGAAGGCACTGGGAGGAGAGGTGGCAGCCTGGGACGGCGGGCAATTGGGAGGAGTGCAGGAGGGCAGGCAGCTGACCAGACCAGAACACCCCACAGCGCTCTCCTTGTAACCAAAACGTGAGCTTCTTCCTCAAAAATCCCCTGCCATTCCCACTCAGCTCTCGAGGTTCGTGGCTGACCTGGGCTGCTCCTTCACATAGGCTCCTCTGCGTCCCAGTGCTACTGCCCGCAGGGAAACCCTCCCGAGCTGACAGCACGACGCACGAGCCAGGGCAATGGGAATCAGTAAGGACGCTCGGGGTGCTGGATGCAGCCTCTGGAAACCCCTGACAAGTTTGCTGCCTGCCTGCAGGTCTGCAGCCACCATGGATTCTCCTCCTGAGGAGGATCTGGGGTGTTGGGTGAGGAGAAACTCAACAGGACCCAGCAATGGGTGCTCACAGCCCCAAAACCAACCCTGTCCTGGGCTGCATCCCCACAGCGTGGCCAGGGCCAGGGGGGGATCTCTGCTCCGCTCTGGTGGACCCTCTGTCCAGCTCCGGACCCACGAGCAGAGGTCGTGGAGCTGCTGGAGTCCAGAGGAGGCCACGGAGATGCTGAGGGGCTGGAGCAGCTCTGCTCTGGGGACAGCTGAGAGAGTTGGGGGTGTTCAGTCTGGAGAAGAGAAGAGAAGGCTGCGGGGAGACCTTAGAGCACCTTCCAGGACCTGAAGGGGACAGGAAAGCTGGGGAGGGACTTTTGACAAGGGATGGAGCGATGGGACCAGGGATAATGCTTTCAAAGTGAGAGATGGGAGATACAGATTGGATCTTGGGCAGCAATTCCTGGCTGTGAGGTGGTGAGGCCCTGGCCCAGGTTGCCCAGAGAAGCTGTGGGTGCCCCCTCCCTGGCAGTGCCCAAGGCCAGGTTGGACGGGGCCTGGAGCAGCCTGGGCTGGTGGAGGTGTCCCTGCCCGTGGAGGTTGGACTGGGGGGTTTGGGGTCCCTTCCACCCAAACCAGGCTGTGGTTCTGTGAATCACAACAACGCTGTGCCAGCAGTCGCCTTTCCTCACCGCAGCTCCCGAGCCAAGCAGCGGGAGCTCGTCAAGGACAACTTTCACACTGGAGCGCGATGATAAAAATATTTAGACACAAAACATGTGCTGCTCACTCAGGGAAAGGAACAACACGTCTGGGATCGGCAGCTTCTGCAGCTTTCTGGGGACTCTCCTTCCACCCCAGCTCAGTCTCCTCCACACAGTTATCTTGCTGGAGACGGGAGCGATTACAAAATTAGAAGAAAGTGGGTGACAAGAGAGTTGAAGATACCAAAACCTTACATAAAAGCACTTTGCGCTAGAGCCCATCAAGGATTAACACTTGTCTTCCGTTACATGTGGTGTGGAGGGACTGCACTGAACCTGGAGCTTGACACAAGCCCTGCAAGAAGCTAACGTGTCCCACACCAGAAAACCGGAGGGACAGCAAAGTGGTGGTGGGCCAGCCCCCTCTTCAACCACAGCCCCTGGGTGCAGAGCAGGGGTGTATGTGTTGCACTCTCTGCAGTAGATTTCCTTGCTATAAAATAGTAAACAAAGCCAACCCTAGGCACCTCGAGGAGGATTCACTGCCCCGGCAAGCCCTGGCCCACCAAAGCAGAGCTTCTCAGAGGTGGAGCTGGAGGAAAGACGCCGCTACAGCATGGCAGCGACGCAGCCAGGGCCACGCAGGCATCACCGCGACGATGCCGGGATCCTCCTGTCCTGTTCTCTCCGTGCTCTTTGGGGCCCAGGCCTGGGAAGCAGCGAGGCACCGGGAGTACCCAGCGCCCTGCTCGGGCTCTGCACCAGACCCTGCCCAGTGCCCGCAGCCGTGCTCGGCTTCCCATGGAGCGCACTGAAGAGGAGCGTTTTGGTTTTAAAACATTGCTCAGACTCGGGTCTTTTCCCTTGCTGTGTTATCTAAAGAGGTCAACTGCCTCTATCTCCTGTGTGGGATTTAGTCCTGTGGAGCCTAACACTGCCTAAATCATGCAGAAAAGTTACAAATCCCGAATCGCAGACCCCAGGAAGCTCTGGTTTGTCCCCTCTGACACCAGCGGCACCAGGCGCTGCTCTCACCACAGGCAGGACCCTGACCACGATCCGCAAGCGGCTGGGATTTAGGGACATGGAGATTAAGTGGGATGGAAATTTGGGGTATTTGGGGTAGAGGTGTGCTCAGAACCTTTGCAGGAACAACTTTTTAGGGAACGGTGGAAAAGGGAAGTGGTGCAGAACAACACACGAGGACCAGTGGTGTCCAAAACACAAACCCTCCGCAGGGGAATCAACACAACAGGGTCTGTTGTGTCTCCGTTCTCCCTGAAGATTTCTGAGATCCCATTTTGATCGTACAGAGCGAGGAATGCTTTATTCCGGGTCTGCAGGGGTGTCTGGGGGAGGCTGCCCAGCGAGGAGAGGGTCAGCATGGACAGCCCGGGACGGGAGAGTCCCATCCCAGAAACACACCCAGCCCCTCTCCTGTCACTTTAATATTCCCTGGGATCCAAGAACAGGTTAAAATCAGGTGAGTTTACGGTCAGTGGGAGTGACTGGTTAACGTCATCCGTGGTCTACAGCTCCCCGGGACGGTGCCGGTGTTACAGCCACACGTGCGGGTCAGGCGGGGAGAACCGGTACTCACCGTGTCGGTGCAGCCCTCCCGAAGGGCTCTGGGAAACA